CTCAAAGAAAAGCTGTGCTTTTCGATTATATTTTCTAAATAATTAATTTGAAATCAATTATTCATGAATTCTAATACCCCTAATCTTAACATTTCCTTTTCCTCGATATATTTTAATACGAAATAATTTTTTTACATATATTTACAATGTAAATATTGAATATTTTGAATATAATTCGCGGTAAATAAAAAAATTTTAAGTGCAAAACTTTAACTTTCCGTATTATTTGAAAATATATAATTCAACTATATAAAGTGTAATATTTTTTTTCTTAAAATCAAACTTACTTTTACCTCTATCTTCATCAAGATATTTTTACATGGAAAAAAAGATTATAATTCATCAACAGTCACTGTTTTCGCGATAACGCGTGTATCGAGATGACGCGTATTCGTACATTGTTGGAAAAATTCAAATGCATATATACATGCAAGCAGCTTTTGCGGCATAATATACTTTGTAAAGGACGAGCATGTGACATCATTCGCGACCGTATGTACGTGCCCAAGTGGTAAACACGCGCGGTACCAATTATCCATTTTTGCACGGAATTATCGCCGACGACCGAGATAAAGCTATCCGAGGCATATACAAATCATTCGCGACAATTGTATGCAAATTAATCGCGGATAAGTTGCGAATTCGTGAATGCTATCACTCGGACCTTGTCGTTATCGTACGCGCATTTAAAACTCGTCTCTCTATTTTTCCATCCGTATCTCAAAAATGATAAACTGAATAACTATTGCAATGCCTTTATTCTTGAAAACTCCCATCACTATTATATTAAGCAATTTCTAGATTTAATTAATCATAATCAGTATACGAGAAACCAAATGCGTCAATTATTTTTATTTTAAAATATCGAGAAATATAATTACATATGTTTTTTTTCATTAAAATAGAAATAATTTGTATCTCTGATTTGACATATAAAATAGAACGGGAATCGATGTTTCGAATGAAATATCGAGCGACGAGCAAAATATTGCACAGCCACGCGTGACATCGCGAGAAAAAATCTTTCGAGAGGACACGCGGTGCGTATGGCCCTTACGAATGCAGGAACGAATGCAGAAAACGTAAAAAAGTTGTCCGTAATGCCCGTGACGTCAACGAATCACCGGGCACAAGTCGGGTCAGCTGGCCGAAAGCCAAGCTGTAAAATAATGGTATGTTAGTCCCGGCTCTAATCGTCAGATCGACGTGTCTTAAATTACGGCCTAATAACGTTCGTAATAACGCGAACACAATTGCATACATTGCGCGCGTTGGCATTTTTTAACCCTCTTTAAATTCTTCGATATTTTACGCGATTGTGCTCTTATTATAATGTGTGTATTGTTATCACCTCCCTATGATATTTATCAAATGTGTAATTGTAAATTTTGTATAGCAACTCAAGGCTCTCGATATAGCGATGTTTCATTAATTAATTCTTCGCAAGTGCAATTATTTTTCAATTTAATAACATGTAAAATTATTTAATTCAGAAAAATAAGATATTTTTTCTGTAGACTGTCTTCATATTTATTTATTATAATAATAATTTAATAGCTCTAGAAATTTTTAACAAGTACGCTACAAATCAAAACATTATCTCTTTCTTAAGTAAGATGAAATTTTAGATAAATTATTACTTTGAAGATATTTTTCTTACAACTGTGTATATTTACTTGAATATTTACTTGAATATTTTGCAAAGCTTTGTTTAGTTTATCGTCTGTTTACGCGCTTAACTGCTGATTACGGTTTCTACTAACTAAAGTAATTTTCCTTTCGCGGAATCGATGCGGATCCACTCGCGGTATTTTTCTCGCTTTGTTCCGCGTGCGCCATCATCATCGGGTTGATGTATCACACGGGGTGAGAGGACGCAAGCGTGGAGGTGATAATAAGCCGTAAAGACTGTGAGACGCATCGGGAATGCGTGAAGTATTTACTCCCCTTATGAACCGAGTGATTCCGCCGGTACCAACAGACCAGGTCCAATCGCGGACCGCCCATAATTCAACGACATTATGGCAAAAGAAGATGTCATTCGAGAGCGCAAGATGCATTTAAGGAGCGTCGTTTGATCATCGGTTAACTGACTCTTGAATCATCATGTACATAACATCACATGCGTTTTATCACTTTTTCCCTCGTCTTTAATATTTTATTCATTTTTTATGCAATTTTTTATGACCTCCTATCATATGGTTGTAATATTTTATACGTCGAATACGTTTCATACGAGAAAGTGAAGATTTATTCGAAAATTTGGAATAAATAATATGGAATTTCTAAAAAAGGATTCTTCTAAAAAAAGAATTTCTAGAAAAAGCGACTCAATATTTAAGTCTTAGCCATTATCTGATTAGAATGAACGCATCGAGCATTCAAATCTCCGGCAAGGCAAGTGCAATTGTCGCGCTATCAGGGGAGTTACGTTTATTTTAAAAGAATCGCGCTGAGTTAAGAAATATGATGAAGGCGCGGGGAGAGAAAGGAAGAAAGGACGCAATATCCATCGCACGTCGGCTCGCGGCAAAGTAACGCGGAATAGAATTTATTGGCGTAGGCGAGGGTGTGCCGGTGAGTTTTTGAAGTCCCCGGACTTCGTTGCCTTCGCCATTCGACTCGCCAGTAAACCACGACTCGTCTCGTGGACGTTGCAGAATGGAGCAGAGAACGAGAAGGTATCCCGCGCATACAGACCCGGTTTAAAGGCCTTAAGGACTCTTGGTGTAAAGAGAAGGACGAGTCGTTTGACATCGAGAAGAAATCGACTGTTCGCCAAGTTCGCTTATGATCATGAAGAAGAAAGCAAATATTAATGAAAATGCAAATATTAATTAAAGAATGATTGTTCTAAGCGCATGCATTCCTTCGGCAAAATATAATTTTGCAAGCAAATAGCTTGATATATGTTTTTCACACATTGAATTAATTCATTGCACAAATTTATCTCTTGCAAAAATATTTTTTAAATGATAATATGTTAAGTATAAATTATTGACATCTATCATTTTAGATGTTTTATATCTTGATGTATTTTTATAGATATTCATATTTTTCAAATGGGTGCTGTAGAAAAGTTTAGTTGCAGCAATCCAATGCAGTAAATTCTGCTGTAGATAATTACATGCCCGTCACATATCCAATATGAAATGCCGCCCTGTCTGCGTGCCGTAGATATAGAACTTCTTTTCTTTCACCTTTACGCATGTATTCGCTCACACTAACGCATCGTCTTTCGCTATGGGCTGTATAGGGCTTATGGGTTGCGCGACGCGGAAATCGCTTAAAAGCATCAAATTGCACGCGTGGGAATCGGACGATGCGCGATGCTGATTAGGAAAGAAAATAAACTATTCTTTATATTTATTTGAATTATACAAAATTAGCAAGAATAACAATCGCACATTTTAATTGATGCGCTAATATTCTAATCAGATTAAGTGACTATAACAGAATGATTACAAAAATTGAAAAGAATGATAACATTAGAAAAAGATCATTAGAAATACATTAGAAAAATATTTCAATCAATTTTGTCATGATAATGATTGTATAAATCTAAAGATATAAACGTTGCATTATATAACGACTTTTAATCATGTTTATATATAAATAAAAGAAAATTGAATATTTCCAACAACATTAGAGTAATATCAGCATTTATTTATTAATTAAGAGTGTTCGAATGCTATTAATCATTTAGTTGCCGGAAAAATTTTCACAAGCAACAAATTCAAGGTTGACCCGTATCTTTCCGAGAAAAGCTTTAGGCTGAACGTGAACAGCGCAACCTTGGACACCGATACAACAACAAGGATGTCTGTTATGCTGACGAAGCATCCTCTATCGTAATCAAACTTGTGATGCTAACTGGAGGTATCGGCGAATCGCAAAATTAAAGTATCGCGGCGTACGAACTCGTGCGCGCGATTATATTTCGGGAAACGATGGCGTTGCTCATGTTTATCACACTTTGAGCACGTGCACGATTATTTTTGCACAATGTTACCATAGCAGATGGCCATCGCGATACTCCCGGATAAGGAAGATTTTCATGGAATTCAAAATAAAATTAAGAAATAAAATAAACAAGAGATAACATAACAAATTAATAAATAAACAACAAATTATTTACAAACTTAAGATTAAACTCTTTGCAGAAGCCAAGAAAAATAATTTAACAAAATATCAGTCCTATATAATTGCATATTAAACCTAATTAATTGTATCTAAAACCATTTTGTAGAAAAAAAGAGTATTCTTTGCTACATATATTATATATGACGTATTAAATTTTTGACATAAAAGTTATATTATTTAAATCCTATTATATTTAAATGATTTAAATTTTTGTGTCGGATTAATTTCTCACATTTACATGTGCAGTTATTTTCCCAAATTTCAATGAGACATTACGATTATGACAATCTTTTTCTGGCGCGAAACGGAACGATAACAAAAGCGTGCAAAGGGACCTGGCGAAATTTGCAAGTCTCGCGTGGCAAAGTGCCATAAGCACCGGCCAGGGGTTGACTACCGTGGCGACCCGCGATATTCTTTTTATTATTCCACCGAGAGCTCCCTCGGCCGTCGGTCGGTTCTTTTATTTCGCGATTTCTCTCTCATTTCGCTGGACCGACCTGCCGACACAACCCGCCGGCCGAACTTGGACCCGGTCGCTCTGCTAATTTAGCGGGATTATTGGAAGTCGCCGATCGTGTCCGGCAAGAATATCGTCGATAGTTACGACTATTAATACTTCCGATTTCATAGCCATTATGCGCGTAATTTCTCCTTTTCGCATTTTTACAGAAAATATTAAGTTCCCTATCTTTTGATTAAATTGCATTTGTCTAAATTACATTTTAGTCTCACATACTGCAGAATATAAAAAACATTGTAACAAACTCATATATTATATTATTTAAAATAAAAAATTAATAAATAAATGTTTTCCATATTAAATAAATGTATATAAAGTTACAAATGTCACTCACGGTTCATGACGTTGAGGATTGTGTCTTTGACGTTGGAAATTTTACTTATTGTTATGTTCAAAATGTCGGTTAGATACGGCATAACGCATGGTCACTTGTAGGCGCGAAATATCTTCCGAAACCGATTCCGAGAATCATAATCATCCCTGTCGACCGCGAAAGGACCGGGTCGGGGGACAAGAACGATGCAACTTAGGTTGTCTTAAGCAAAACTAAACTTCGGTTCTTGCGTCCTCGACATCCCGGCATCGCGTATCCCCCCACCATCGGCTTCTTTTTAGTCATGTGGGATTTACGCGTACGGGGAGTAGCACGAGTTTCTCACACCCAGGGCGGTACCCGTTTAAATGACGAGCACCGGTGTCAACGTCGCGCGTATGTTACGCGTGTCACATGCAAACGCGCGCGAAAGGAACTCTAATCGAGCGGTTAATCGTCGGAGAATATTGATATACAAAGGATGTTATCCTATGAGGAAAATATATCGTGCATATTATGTCGATTGTAACCTAAACAACATTCAAATTGTCTAATTGAAATCTTATCGGTTTCCAAACATCTTAATTTTAAGAAGACAATATTTAAATTATCGAGATTTTTAAAAATGAATTTTTTATATTGAAAAATATTAATATCTAAAAAGCCAAATTATTCTTATAATACCCAATTTAAAATACATGAGAGTAAATTTGATGTACGATCTTGAAATCAAACTGTGAAATAACAGTTTTTAAATTCAAGCTGATTTCTAAATTTGATAGGAAAATTTTGCGCATCGCCATCTGCTGAAGTGAGCTAAGCGAGCTAAGGTGACACAACAATCTTCGTCGTGCTTGAGATATCAACGTCTTAGTCATTACGCGATATGCTGATTCGTAGTCTTTGCGAGATTATCAAATCACAAATACACTTCGCTCATCCGAGCACGGTGTAGAGTCCTTTAAATTGTTATTATATCCGTGTCCTCCTTCAATTCGTGTTTCGCTAGTGATATTCTCGATATGTATGTCATATATACTGGAGATCAAAGTATCTCGGATAGTCAGCAACAATTAAAAAGGCCAATCGTTCGAAAGAGACATGAGATAAAATGAATCATTTTTCATAATATACAATATGATGTTACATTAAAGATGCTCGGCTATTAATTTCATAAGACAGCATGATAAATCAAGAATATATAAAGCGTTCGCTTCAAATATTACTCATTTTTTATATATAAATAATATTATTTGTCTATTATATACACTGACAGCATATTGAAGCATTTATTATTTTAAAAATTTTTTAAGAAAAGGAAGAAAATTTACTGGTGCTTTTCACTTATTTACAAGATCTCACAATTGACAGTTAATGTTGCTTAGCATTGACTCTATTGCAATATTTTTTTTATTTTTATCTAAAATATGATACAAAATTTATCTAGATTTATTGTTTTTTATGAAATTATCTTGGATATCATCCTGCGACAATATTTTAAGGAGATATATATTCATAATTCGTCGGCGATTTGCCAGTTAGTCCCGAATCTCGAGATCGTAGATCACCCATTAATATCGATCGGATAGCTATGTCCGGTAGGTATGTAGGAAGTATCGAGTTTCGTGTTTCTACACATGTCCAAACGCTTAAGCCGTCTTCACCTATCCAGTCATCCGGGGCGAGAGCGTGTCCCAGCTGCGGCTTGCGGCCTCTCTGATCTCAACCACCGCCGGACAGTTAGGGAAATCTGGCCAATGCGTCTGGACCAAAATCACGATTGAAATTCGTGTTCTCGCATCGATCTATATATTCGAAATCGAACACTATAACGAATGAGTCAAAGTGCCATTGCAATAACGTGAATCGATTATAATACTAATACTAATAAGAATTGGGATGTCTTAAAAATTATATCAGATATTAAGAGAAAGATTCATATATTGCAATTCGTAATTATAACCATCGACTTTCCGATTCGATTATCGTAATACATTATCGAAATCCGACAGTAAAAAAATGTTACTTGGGATACACAGTATGATATGTTATACTATAAAATCAATTGTAAGCTGTGAAGATAATGTTATTAATTAATATCGTTATTAATTAATATCATTAATATTACCAGTATGATTATAATTAATTTCTAAAAATTAACTATAATCATATTATAGATCAATTACGGAAATAATATTATTAATTTAATCATATCTTCTTGTATATTATAACGTTGCGAATTATTTGAAATGTTTAGGCGACACTTTCTCATTTATATCGCGAATTTTTAATTTTAGAAAATTCTAACCGTTAAAAATTAATTGTTATTAGCAAGGATCGTTCTCCGTTCAACAGTCCGCGTAGAAATCACTATCGATACATCATGCATCAAATCGTTTGACGCTAAATTAGTCGAGACAATAAACAAGGGAGAACATAAACATAAGCCGCAACGAAAATTTTTACGTGTCGATGCGAGATTTTCTTCCTTTCTCTATTTTTTTTCTCGTTTGCGAGAAACTCAATGCGCTATACATTGTGATTCCGCCAGACACGTTTACGTCCGCGCAGCTTTCGAGAGAGCTGCGAGACAAAGCCTCTCTCTGTTTCTGGCATTACTCCGTTTTATGTAATGCCCGTAGATTTTACGAGGTAGTAAAAGAAGACGCGTAAACTATTCCTAGGACGAGGGGCAGAAAGAGAAGGCTGGTGTCTCCAATTTTTTGTTCCACCTAAGATTTCGTTTCACTGATAAAAATTTTAACTCAAACGCGCCAATGAGCGCGAATAAATTTTATTTTGAGAAGTTTCCAAAATTTTATTCTCTACAGAGATGCTATTTAAGAATTCAATCTGTCAAGGATTCATTATATATTTCTTTATGTTAAAGTTTTATATTGGAATAAAATCAGAAACAAAAAGATTGTGAGAGAAACATTATTCATATCATATTTTTAGAAAAACAACTTACAATAAAAAGTATTTTACACTTTCTCTGTTTCACATTTTCTTCAAAACTCGTTAATATTGATTAGTAAAATATAATCTTCATCATCGCGTATCGTAACATTTATATTTATTTTATTATGCATACATTAATCTTTCTAAATGTGTCAATAACTTATAACTCTTCCGGTTGGTCATGCTTATAATCGTCCCTAACAAAGTAGTATAACGCGTGATATAGAAACACTAGTCGACTTTAATAACTCTTTCGTCATCGGAATATTTTTAATACTAAAATAAACAGCAATAAACAGTGCCCCCAAAATTTTTCTACCATAATATATTTTTATTATAATTTTATTTTATTAAAGAATTTATGTATGATAATAACGCGAATAAATTAAAAAAAATGAAGTCTATATTACGCATATATAAACTTATCGACATTAGTTATTAGAGATTTTTATATAGAAATTTGAATATTTAGATGTATGAGTTAAATTCAAAGGGTTAAAAATTTTTATCGCTCCCGCAGAGAAGTAATGATCGGCGCGTGTTTCTGTAGAAAAGCGCGCTGCTGTTTGCGAGCGTTTTGCATATACGCACATATACGCGTCAGGCGTCATCCTGAATTACCTAAGAGCTGTTTACGCACGTGCCAGGATGTTGTAAGGCGTACACCCGCGCGCAGTTCATTCAATTATTGCCACCACCATTACAATCGCGCTATTATTAGCCATCGCGACCGAACCACGCTCATGAATTACTATTATTATTGCCGTTATACATATGCACGTCACGGTGAATGCCCGCCTCCGACGATTCGCGGATTGCTCGATCAATCAATGCAACAATCTGAGCCATATATATGCAGTATGGACCTCTACGTGATTCTACTAAAAACTGCAAAAAAATTATTTTTATCACTCACATCGTATTTTTATGAAAAATTTCTGTTAATTGTCAAGTCTCAGAAAGAGAGAAGAGCAACAGTTTCCGTCCGCGATTAAAAGAATTCTCTCGCATTTTGAGAATACCTTGTGAATATTTTTTTTAGAGTTCTATAACCATCGCACAAAAAACTTAGGTTTATTTTTACGATGTAAAAAAATGCGTTATCCCTTCTCTGTCGAGAAATATTTACTCTCACGTTCTAATCGAAAGGATTTAAATATGACAGGAGTTTGGCTTCACGTCAAGCACGACGTAATTCGACATTTAAAAAAAAGAGTTTGAAAATAAAGTCTCGGGGGAGTAGATTCTCGTCCAAAGAGCGCAATCCGGCGATTCACGCCGTCGTGACAGCTGTAGACGTAGACGCCCTTAAGTCTTCGCGCGAGAAGTCTTCCGCTGGGTGAGTCGCGGAAGGGTACAGCGGCCCAGGATCACGGGCAAGGATCACGTTCGGCGGACCTAGGTCTCCTTGCTACAAATCGCTTCAGGAAGCGACACGCCCCTTCGCGGCTGCCGCGATGCGTTACACGCGCGTTTCTATTTACCTAACGTCGTATTTCCTTCTATTTTTCTTTTCTTTCGTCCTCGTCGGCGAAATGAGAATCCGGCGCTCGCGCGTTAGTACGGTGACACGAAAATAGTCCGTTTCACACGATCCGTTTCACAAGCGCAGCGCGTGCTCACGAGCGGATAAATCATGCTTTTCAACCCCTTTTCGCTACGACGGCGCTTTTAGACGCGATGTGGCGGCTGAGTAGGTGCATTCTCGATGCATGGATATTTTAATGGCACGCTCGGAAGATTTACGATTATATTCTCTACGAGAGAATATAGTCCTCTTGGAGAAGGACGACTTCTCTTAGAAAAATATTTAGATTGAGATTTAATGACCGGGGAATGTTTTAAGAGCAATTAACGAATTTGGGAGTTAATTTTTTCATGGAAGAATTTTATCCAAGCCCAATTATTTAGTTGTTTTACGTCTTAAAAGAAAAGCCATCCAAGAAAAAAAATCGACTAACACAATATTTTTTGTGTTTGATATTTTAAAGCATATTTTTATTTTCCTTCATAAGCTCATCTTCAAGAAGTGTATTAAGTCAATTAATTTTTTACATTCGCGATTGAGTGAAATGTTACGTGAGGTAGAAATGCTTTAAGGTATAAATTTTTAAGATTTAAATTTATTCAGCTTTTGGAATGAGATGGCATCCCTAAAAGGAAAATCAATCTCAAGAAAGTATTGGCAAAAGAATGAAGGGATACACTGTGTCGCGTCTGAAAAATCATGCGGGTGCCGTAACACAATATCAAGATAAATTCGATGCGAACAATTTACCTGCATC